CGCTTTTGGCGGCTAGCCGTTTAGCGCCATTTTCAATGGAAATCAGTACATCTGAATACATTCATGTTCAGTAAAAAACCATAGGCCCCCCACTGAGTCATTCCCTTACTGCCTCTGACGTGCCACGATTCCAGGATGCTTGACTGAGCTTCTAAAGGTCCGCCTATCGGGAACAGTGGACCAAAATGTGCCTCCAGATCAGCCTCTTTAATTTTACCGTTCAGTGGCCTATAAAGTGCTTTAATGCTTTGGCATAGAAAAATTCTGTATTTTGTATTACATATCTCCTAACTTTGGAGAGGAGCCTTGGGGGACAAAACGACACATCAAATCAGCACTCCCAGCATCAAGGCCGAAGCTAATTACGAACATATTCCTTCGGACTGTCTACGCCCTGGGGGGAAATTAGTGTGCGTGAGCGTCCATGTGGTAAGAGACGGACCCGCCGAACACGATATGGGTACGCGGCGAACACCATATGGTACCTAGGGATACACCGGGCAGTCGGACCCAGATGGAGCAACCACCAATCTAAACAGCCGCAAAAAACGATTCTTATTAAATTCCGCCACATGTCAGCCCGAGGCCAGAGGTCAACTAACAATCAGATTGATTTATCAGTGTATAGTTGTTGCGGACCATGCTGAACCTTAATCCCGCTAACTATAGCGTAAATACTATGAATAGCATAAGTCAGACGAACTCAGTCAGCAAAAAAACAACACAAAAACTTGTATTTGTTTATATTTCTATTAAATTTTAAAGTAAAGTAAAAGTAAACTTGTTACTAAGTTACCTTTTATCAATTTAGTATAAACTAATAAAGTAACTAGTTACTTTTTTGAGAGCAGTAACTATAACTATTACTAGTTACTTTTTAAAAGTAACTTGCCCAACACTGATCATGATTAATTAATTTTTAAGCTTTGATTAATCTGATTAAAAATGTTAATCGTTTGACAGCCCTAATTTTTTTATGTATCTATTGTTAAAGCATTTAATGTATTCATTGCTATCGGGATGTTAAGAGGATTCCATGAAATATAACAAAAAGTATTTCTGAAATAAATTACATAGCCCACCTTTAATATTCTCCATATGGCAAAGCTTTAGAGCTAGGAAGAGGCTATTGCCTGACACACACGTGTTGTATTAAAGGTGGCCTGTGGAGTTTCATTATAAACAAAAGTTATTTTAATATTTTTTGCATATTTTTTGCATTTTTCCTTGAGTTCTAACAATAATGTTAGTTTCCTGTGTGTTTAAAAAATAATTTGTTAATTTGTTTATAGTATATAAACTCTGAAATTAATGACTGTTAAATCACTTTCTTGAGTTACGTAAAGTGAGTTATCCGTCAGTGAGATAAGACAATGGTTACTGAGGCTCTGGCCCAGTGATAAAGCTGATGCATTTGCAGTATTAAGGTCTGAGTGTCTGTGGGTGTCAGGAAAATCATGGCATTTTGAAAATGATTATAAATAACGTGTCTTAGCAAAGGATGTAATATGTTTACAAATGCGCTTAATCTGTCTAAATTCAGGTTTATAGTGCATATGTGTGCCAATTAATGGTATTATTTCACATGTTGTTTTGTCATGTGGGAGGACATACAGAATATATAACAGTGGTTACAGCATCACCTGTTCACCATTGTTGTTTGGGTACCCATCATCTTAACACAAAGGCATCAGTATCCACCACAGAGCAGTTAGAGCCCACGGACAGCTGATCCAAAGCAGCCGTAAGCATCGTGACTTTTGACTGGGAATGACATCTCCTCTTACTAACTGTTTGTTTCATGGATTATTCCCTCATCGCTACTCTCTTTCATCATTTCCTCTACCATTAGTGAGAAGTGCTTAGGAACGAGGAAAAGTGGGAGCCATTTAATTAGAATGTGGACCCAGTTTTTTATATTCGCTATTTAGTTGTTTTCGCTTGTCCCTTACATGGTCATTTACGATTTTGGGAGTCTTTACTTTATTTTTTAAGCTATAGCAGAATAACATTATCATGTCTATCCTTAGTCTATCTCATTCAGATAATCAGTTCAAGATACATTACATCAGCAATGTTTTTGATTGAATGACTAGCACAAATGCCTATGATCATTTGTACTGACGGGTATTGATCTCAGTTAAACCTATTTACAGTTAGACATTTTCGTAGCCTTTTGCATATCAATTGCTTAAAGGGACGTTATTATGCTTTTTGGGATTTTCCTTTTCCTGTATTGTGTCATATAGATTTCTGTGCATGGAAATCAGGGGTGTCCAAAGTTTTTTTCACTGAGGGCCACATACAGAAAGATATACGAAGGGCTGGGCCCCTCACAAGAGGTGACGTATGTTGCCTCATAAGTGAAATTATAAGTTAGCAAAATCAATTAGGCAAATTATTTTGGATAATTGAATATGCTTTAGGTCATATATTACTGACATAACAACAACAATGAATACTTTTTAATATATCTTGACATATATTTAAGAAGTACAATGCATGCGCCATATGCCATTATAATTTTAGAATTTGCTGCAGGCCAATTAAAATTGGACCACGGGCCGCAGTTTGGGCACACCTGGTGAAAATGGTCTTTGAAGGCTAAAATCTCAAAGTTCCCTCCAGAGGGAGCTTGTTTACTTCAGTAACTTCCGTGACATCACTATGTAACACTCTATTGGCTAGAACTCCAAAACATTGAACTCCAAAACACGTTATAGGCTAGTGGTGGGACATCTCTAAACCATCGACCAATCACAACGGCTAATCCGGCCAGCTAACCATTCAAAGCAGAATGGGCTCTGGTTTCAGACAGAGGGTGAAAAGAGGTGCTGCAGCACAGGCAGTATGAGAAAAAGAGTTTGTTGAACATTCAAGCATGGAGACATGTCAGAGTAGAGGCACTAAATACAAACATGAACCTGACATGAGCATAATAGGGCCCCTTTAATATGTCACGCCAACCAGGAAACTTACATTTAGATGTAAACTAACTGATTTTCTGTGTGTGTGCTTTACAGAACACAAGAGCAGCCCTGGACCACTTGGAGTCATTCCCAGAGAAACAATGTCTGATGGAGAACTTCAAAGATTTGGAGGTTGAATCATTTTCTTTTTAATTAAATACAGCGGTTAGGATGTTCTTCGTATTATTTCCCTCAAATTACCAACCTGGGAGACAAACATTTTAGACACATGAATATGCCTTATCACATTCATCCACATGTTCATGTCACTGTCTCTCTTCTGCTATAAACGAGGCTTAAGACTTTTGGATGCTCCATTTTTTGTCCCTTTGGCCTTATTAAAGACATGTTTTTTTCTGGTAGGCTATAATGACACAACCTCCATTTTGTGCCAACAGGAGTCCCAGCGGCAGAGGGAGATGGTGGAGCAGCGCTACAGCAAGTACAAAGAGATCGTGTGGGACCTGCAGCACCAGCTGGACGAGTCCAAATGCAGAATCCAGGAGTACAGAGTATGACACACTCACACACACGGACAGGTGCAATACTGTACTCTGGAAAAAGGAGCTTCATAATGCCTTACAAGAGCCTGCACTGCCAAAACAACAGCCCACTCTTTTTCTATTTCTGTCGGTAATTGCGGTGCTTTGTTAAAACAGCAGCCGTTAGGATAAGGGTAGTCTGACTTTGAGAGTCATTTATGAAGCTAGCTCGCCCACACCACTGCCAGTGCGTGCACTGCACCTAATTTGCAACTTGTATGAATAAATGAATAATTCCACATGCTGGTAATGCATCATGGATGGACGGAGTGGGACAAGCTCAAGCAGTGGCACGCATGTTCACTCAAAGTACATTTTACCAGTCTCCGTTAATTGCTAGTTTTGCTACAGTCATCTTCTGTGCTATAGGGAGACATCAAGACATCACTGTTGACAGCTGATGGCCATCAGCAGTTTGCAATCTCCCTTAAAAAGCCATACAGTCACTTTCTAAATGCTTTTAATCTGCCAGATTACCCCGTTGGTTTGCCAAATGACTTCCGTGTTTAGTGATAAGTGGTGATCGCATTAGTTTAATAGCGCAGCCCACCCGGAGTTTGTTTAAGGAAAAAGGATGGGTGGGATGTCTTCACAAGAGTTCCATGTTGATCACAATCATCAAATGCCAGCAACACAAACAGCTTCTACTGCATGTAAGAGTGTCTGTCTGCTGTAAACACCAGCTTGTAAAGCTCCATTTAGACAGAATTATGTTCTGCCTCAGTGCTTGTCCTGCCATTAAATGACATCTGTAATGGTAATGCTCTATAAATACAGGATACAAATAAATCTGTAATAAGTGTCACATTTTCAAGAGGCAGCAGCAACTTGGCAGGCATTGCAAGAGAATAACTAAATATTGAAAGATGTCTTATTCATGCTCGGACGTTAATGTTTGCAGGCAAAACGTGTCAGTAAAATTAGATTTTATTATATACGGGAGGACGCAAGTCACTCAATTCCAAAACCGAATATTTTATAATTCTGTAAAGCTCTTTTTTGGGCAGACAAATCTGGCACACAACCCTCATTTTAAGGTACTTTGAAATGTAATTGTGTGTAGCCTGTGCTCTGCAAAGTGTAATGTATGCATACATTATACAGAGCTCTTCACACTACTGGTTGTTCTGTTCATTTGACTTTGACATGTGCCCATAGCCGTAGAGCTGTTGTGGCTTCATCCTCAGTTGGTCTGTCACTAACATTTAGGATCAACAGTCAGCTTTTCGTCAATCATTGATGGATGGTTTTTAAACTCCCTAATGTTTGTTTCATTCCACTTTTTAAATCTTTTTAGCATCACATCCTGAGTTAAATGCTATGATGGCAATTTCCTATATTACTAAGAAGTACATGTTTTGACCCACATCACGCTATGCTAGCAGCTCTGCGAGGCTGTAACTAGACACTGCTGTGCTATGGTGCTTTGAGTTAAATGCTAACAACAGCATCCGGAGACAATTGCAATGCTAACATTAATTAGCAAATATATGTTGAGCATGCTTTGGGAATGTTATTTGTCTTGCAGGTATATGGTCATAACGTTTTCGTAACATTAGTAATTCAAAAAAACACTTGATGGTGGCACTAGATACAAGGTTAAGGGATCACCATAGTTCTTTAAGTTCATACTGAGGCGGGCGTGAATGCGTTTCCCAAGCTTCTTTATTATCCAGCCCAATGGTTTTTGAGACATTTCAGAAAAAATTGCAGGTGTGAAAGTCCTGGTGGTCCCAGAGGAAAAGTCAGGGGATCTCCAAAGTCATTATGATGTCTGTATACAATTGTGTTCCATTTATCGAGTAGACCTAGACATATTTTATTTGATGAATAACTTTAGTAGATGGGCTCCAAATTAAGTTAGAAGCTCTCCAAAGCAATTAGGCTTCATCCTCTGGGGACCATGAATGTTCAAGATTGCATGGCAATAATTGTCAAGATGTTTTAGTTTAGGCAAGTACGTGTAGTAGGTCCATTTAAAAGTGCCATTTAAAGTCTTCAATAACCAAAGTAGGCTTTACCTACTAAAACTAAACAGTTTTACATATGATAGGGTGTATTTTCCACATTGTCGTGTTGAATGTGCTCTACAGCTGTAGCTTCAGTGTTGTTGCTGTCCTGTTGTCCTGCAGGAGGAGAAGCTGGACGCGACCTCCAGGAGCCTGAGACTGGCGGCTCTTTCTTCCTCTATCAAAGGGCCCAGCACCTTCCTTAGCAGCACGCTGAGATCTGGCACACCCTGTGAGTATTTATACTCTGAAGCTACACAACCTGCGCTCTGACAGCTTATCTATTGCCTGTTTTTCTGCATCTGTGCGTCCTTGAGTCGTTTGAACTTATATCCCAGTGTTTTAAATGTTTTTTTTACTTCTGAATAAATAAAATAAAACTGCTGAATTCCACAGCACGATAGATCCTATAGGGCTGGTATATGTGATGCATTTCACGGTGGCAGTCTCAAGGCACCGTCACTTCTCTATTAAGTATTTCTACATGGCACACAGAGCTGAAACTTTCCGTCAGGGCTCTGGTGTGTGTCTGTGTGTTTCACTGCCAGTGGTTCATAGCCAGAATCACTTGTAGCACTCTCCTAAGCGGCTTACAGATATTTGGAGTGAGAGAAGCGAGCTTTCTGTGGCTTTGTGTCGATTTTACCTCCAAGAATTATGGCTGTCAGAACCTACGGATATATGACACTGGTTTTCATATACAATGATTACAGATATTCATACCTACTCTGGCAGTAACCGGTAGGGCGTTATCATATAGGTACTCCTCGCAATGGACTAGATCCAATAAAAGCACAGTTCCAATTGTATGAAGTACTTATCCATAGTCAGCGTATAGATTTAGCCACCTAAACGCAATTTTTACTTTTTTTTTTACCATTTTCCCTTTGCCATCAAACATGTATTTTTATCGGGAATTAAACCTTTTTTCTGTTTGTTCTTCAAAGCTAACAGACTCCATTGGAAAACAATATTATTTTAGTTTGCAGAACATAGAAGTTGCTGGTTGTGTGATTTTGGTTATTTCAGATTTACTACCAAACTTACTAACTGATTTAGGCAGCAATAGACCAGAGGGGTGTACTACTAAACAAGATGAGTGGGTAAGCGAGGTATGTTGAGCCTTGAACCAGATTTGTCCCTATTACGAAGTTTGCTTTATTTTTACCTGGTCTTATGCCCAGAGTTTAGGCTTCAAATCAGCTAAACATGTCCATCCTCTGCTGGTTTCTCTTAAAATAGCGTCACTTCATAGCAGGGGTGCCCAATACGTCGATCATAGTGTGGGTAGATCGCGTGGCATTGAAAAACAAAAAGTTAGCCTATCATCCATCCTTACTATGGCATTTGCAACTTGATTGCCGTACAGGTAAGTCAGTCTTACATCTTATATTTTCTAACACGCAGTTCACCATGTATGCGCGGTCAACCGCGCCAGCTGCAAATCACCAGCGAGCTGATTTACCTAGTGAGCCTTCCAATTTATACAATTATACTGAAGAAAGGGTATAAGGGGGGCCTCACCTCCTCATCTAAAGTGTAAGCACGCCACAGTTTCTCCCCCCTACCCCCCCCCACTCGCGATGTACAGGGCCTCACCACATGACTTTGGGCAGGTAGGTAGATCACTTTGACTTGGTCATTTTAAAAGTAGCTCCCAAGCTGAAAAAGTGTGGGCACCCCTGCTTTATAGTATGTACTAAATCTACGAGCAGAACAGATTCTCATCTGAGAAAGAATAGGTTTTCATATAAATGAAAACCTATTCTTTCAATCCGTTGATAAGGTAGAAGAGTCAACACACTTATATGAGAGCCTGAGGAGGAAAGCCTGGGTTGACACAGGCAATTGATATCTACCTTTGAGGTACCAGTTATCTTTGATTAGGGTTTGTTGTTTTGTCGACCTTCTAAGCAAAGAAACCGTGGTTCTCTGGATCTTTCCTTATAGAACACCCCTCCTGTGTTTTGCAAAGGAAAATGGCAGTTTTTGTGCCTTGAGTCTGGTGGCTCTACGAAAGCATAGCTTTGTTTTTGTTCACTGTCGGTAAGGGCTGTCTTACAGAATGAGAAAGTGGTGAAAAATATTCAATATGTAGGTTGCACTTATCATCTAAACCAGGGGTTCCCAACCTTTTTTCCAAAGAGCCCCCCCCAAATGACTCCTGTTGGAAGTCTCAAAAATGCTACAACTACTGTCACAAACTAGATGAATGTGAAGTATTTTGTTAAAGGAGGATGAAAGCGTAATTAAGGAGCACTATTGGGGTGACTTTG